ATACAGGTGCCTGCCACAACGCCCGGCTATTTTTTGGTTGCAGCCATCATTGTTGTTTGGCAGGCTGGGTTGGATTCGAACCCGCCACCTTAGGTGTATGTGGCTGGCGCCTTAGCCACTTGAGCCACAGGCGCCGAGCCAGAATTTAAACATTTTGATGCCCACTCCTGCTGTGCCAATGATGGAAGTTCATTTCCTTCCATGTACCAGGAGTGTGCTTGCCTCCTCTATGAAGCTGACCCACACAGTCATTTTCTAATCTCTTCTTTTTGGGAAAGGACAATTAGATAAGGGTTATGTGAGGCCACTTTTTTTGTGGTCCAGTATTAGACACAAGTACCTTGATGATTATGAAAGCAAAAATGCAACCCTAACCTAACTGATGTAAGGATTCTGCTTCTGCCCCACAGGGGCTTTAAAGGAAGAGAAAGAGTCTAGCCTGGATCATTTCTCCCAAAGAAAACTGACTTATAACCATATCAGTGTGCTTTATTCCTAGGTGTTAAAGGGGGTTGGGACAGACAGGTTAGCTGGCTAATGTCATTACATTTTAGTTTCCATGGCATTTAATCTGTTAAGAATGGGGTTCTTTGCATAATCAAAAATAGAAGTACTAAAAATTAAATAAAAATCTGACTGTGAAAATGTTTCTATCTGTAGCAGCTGGTGGTGTTATGAAATACTTACTGTTTTGCTTAATTCCTAACTAGGCATAATTAAAGTTAAATGCTAAATTTTAGGTAGCAGCTGATAAATGAGTCTAAGCTTTCCTGACGGAATACTCCTACTACTTTAGTGAATCATAGAAAGCTCTTTCTCATTTATTTTTAATTATTTCTTTTACATCTGTTGTTTGAGATCAGCAACACCAAGTTGGAAAGGCGACAATGATTGTTCTAGACTGCCTCTGCACACTTTTTCTGCTCCGAGAATTAAAAGTAAGTCCTTTGAGCCGGCTGGAATTACCAGAACGTGTTTCCCTTCCCCTCTTCATTCTCACCCGAGATGACCAGTCTGTGGAGCAGAACTCACACACAGAGCAACTGCAGACGTCTGTGATACGGGAAATCTGGAGTCTGTACAAATAAGGAGTGAGAAAATGCCAGGGGTTGGCAAATAAAGGAAGCGCTGTCCTCTGCCAGGGAACCAGCCTCTAAGTTTTAAATATTTTCAATATCCTCAATTCAACATGCCCCACTTTGGTTTTTTGTTTGTTTGTTTGTTTTGTTTTATTGAATGGTAACTATGTACATTAATGCACTGCTGGGGTACAGTGTGGGGTTGTCACACACAATCCGAAATACTTCCATCAAACTGGTTAACATAGCCTTCATGTCATTTTCTTAGTTATTGTTCTAAAATGTTCACATTCGGCTCGGCGCCTATAGCTCAACTGGCTAAGGCGCCAGCCACGTATACCCAAGGTGGCGGGTTCGAATCCCCAGCCCAGACCCGCCAAACAACAATGACGGCTGCAACCAAAAAATAGCCGGGCGTTGTGGTGGGCGCCTGTGGTCCCAGCTACTTGGGAGGCGGAGGCAGGAGACTCGCTTGAGCCCAGGAGTTGGAGGTTGCTGTGAGCTGTAATGCCATGGCACTCCACCCAGGGGGACAGCTTGAGGCTCTGTCTCAAAAAAAATAAAATGATAAAATAAAATAAAATGTTCACATTCTACTCTTAGAAAGATTCACTTGTACCCTTGTAAGATAAACCTCAGAAGTGATCCCTCCAACCCCCCCCCCACATGTC